TTATTTTAATATTTAAACTATACTCTCCAATATTTGTAGAGAGGCAAAGCAGGAGTTTTAAGACATAGATAGAAATTTTATCAAATCTTAAGAACGCGATTAATTGTCTATCCCAGTGTTTCCCAATTTTTTTCGGCAATGGAGCTCTAAATGATTAATTTTCTTTTGGCAGAACCTGCATAATAAACCTGCATAAATAAAGATAATTGCGAACTTATTTACCATTTAAATAATTTATTTAAAAAAAAACTTAATAAGACGAATGAAATTTATTTATCGTTTTATCATTAGTTAACTAACGTAAAACTATTTCGTTTCCACTCTGTCGTCATCCATTTTGTTCGCATTATCACGTGATGATTAGTTCATATACACAGAGATGACACAGGTGAATAAAAATGTAAAATGCGGTAGAACCTCAATTTTTTGTTTATTTATTATCTCCTTAATTAATCAAATATATCTACCACTATAATTTACACTTAAAATTATACATATTTAAAATGAAAATTATTTATCCGATTTAAAATATATGCGTTTTCCTATTAATTAGACTATAGCATGAATCGTGATTTTCTCACACCTGCTAACTCTTCCGGATTTTCCCGAAGATTTTATTTTAATATTTAAAGTGGTAGTAAATATATACTATTTTTTCTTTTATAAACGTAATTTTTAAATGATTTTGATCACCACTATTCTTACAAAAATTAAGCACATATATTAATATGCGCTACTATCACGGTTGTCAACTTAAGTTTTTTAAAATGCAACGTATTTGTTTGCTTAAAATTGAAGTAATTTCATTTTAATACCACTGGGAAAAATGATAATGGAAGAGATTAAAAGTTGGCAAGTATGTAATCTTAATGGAAAAAAAATTGGTTGTAATTTAACCACTTAACCCAGACTTTTTATGGAATCGTTTTCTTTGAGTTCTTTCTATGATTGTGTCGTTCATACTTTCACTTTTTCATTACCCTTGTTACCACAAAATTACAGAGGTTTCCTCATTGGCCGATTACTCGCAGGCATTAATTCTTGAATTTCTGCAGTTTCTTTGCATTCACCTTCAATAACAAATAATTATGCTAAGAAAAATTTATAATTTTTATATCTTTTCATTTAATAAAAGTCTGAATTTTATTAGTCACTTTCTTATGGCATTTTTAGTCGCCCGTGGCAAACCTGTATACAGGATGTTCTAAAAATCACCGATTTTAATGCATGTTTTCACATTCCTCGACAGAAATGAAGTAAAAAAAGTATTAATCTCGTTAAGGGAAGCTGATTAATGTTCAACCGAGGTATATAGAATATCCCCATCAAAGTCGTTGAATCACTACTGAGGAAGACATGGTAAACTTTTCACACCTCAACAAATACAGATTATCCACAACTTGGAAAAATTAAACAGTGACGACGAACTTTTCTCAAGACTGATTCAAGATTTCCTAAAGTTAACTTTCAGTTTAGTTTCATAAAATCAGTTTTAAAGTTTCCTCACTATGATAAACGAAAGGTATTTTTAGCTGATATGAATACTTCAAAATATCTATCTTTTTCAAAATTTAGCTACCACTTTAAAACAATTTCTAGGTCTCGCTCAGGCAAATATATCAGGTCTAAAAGAAGCTAAAAAACACCAAAACCTGTTTGATTGCCAAAAGAAATTTGAAGGTGATTCTTATAATCGTCTTCTCTCCAAGATTACAATGGCAAAAGTCAAAAAGTGTAGATATTTAAGGTATCTCAAACCTCAAAACAAAGTTTTAGTCTTGCTTAACATCACAAAAAAAATTTTTTAAACTTACTTTTCCCTTAAATTAAAATTTTTCGTTAATACGAATAATTTAAGATAAAGCTATATATTTTTCAATTTAGCTACCACTTTAAAAACTTTCCCGATCCCTTTCCTAACAATCAAACAAGTTTTGATGTTTTTAATCCCGTCATACTCACTCGAAAGTTTATAATTTATTGAAATGACTTTACTGTTTTACTTTAATGATTTTACTGCTATGACGTTTTACTTGTTTTGTTAAACTTTATTTGAATCAAAGTGTTCACGTGCCATTTTTGAAAATTATCGTATTGATATATTTTCTTTTTCTTCCATGCTACCCTAGCTTTTGGTAAGTCATAATATGGAATATTACCGTTTTTTATATTTAAAGAGAACTATTGAAAGTATAATAACTTTTACTCTCCTATGACTCCTATTCGGTGAAATCGAGAGTTGCCACTCTACATTTAGAATTTCTCTATCTTAATAAAACAAAAGTGTCCTACTAAGTCATTTTATTTCTTTTTTATGATTTAGTGTTTGCAGTAGCTCAAGCAGCTTATTAAAGTACACTGAGTTAAGAAAATTAAGTTAGGTACTTTAATTATTTGAAACTGTTGCGAATTATTTTTTCACTGGTGGAAAATTATATAACTGAATTGTTATTTTAAATAAACAGGTTTTTCGAAGAATAAAATTATTATTTTAACTTAAACATCTGTCTACATGACTATAATATATATAGAGAGATGCCAACTTGCTCTGGACAGCAAATATATATTTTAAAGTGGTAGTTAATCAATTGTGACTCTTGTTTAATAAATTCAATTTAGTAGATTTTTATCCACCACTATTTCTAATTAATTCGTAGGCTTACATAATTCCCCACATCATAGTAATTATGTTATCAGATTTTAATAAGTTGTTCGATAATGATATAATCCATACCTGCCAACTTTACCGGAAGATTTTGTTTTCATATTTAAAGTGGTAGTAAATATATACTATTTTTTTTCTTTTATAATCTTAATTTTTAAATGATTTTGATCATCACTATTCTTTCAAAAATTAAGGACATATATTAATATGCGTTACTATCATGGTTGTCAACTTAAGTTTTCTCAAATACAACGTATTTGTTTGCTTAAAATTGAAGTTTTAATTCCATTTTAATACCACTGGGAAAAATTATAATGGAAAGGATTAAAAGTTGGCAGGTATGATATAATTCGAATCTCAGCCCAATTACCGCTTTTTTATGCTCAGACTGCATACTATCAAAATACTATTAACTTCATCACACAACTCTACTCAAGGGGATCTCCTCATCACAATAGTGATTTTCACTTCTAAACTCAAGATTTACTTCTTAAAGGACTTGATTTGTTGTTACAAAATACTACAACTTCAATGATTTTTAGAACCTCCTAGAATACGACAAAACAGATTTGATGAATCGGTTAGTGGCGCTTCGCGCCGAGATAACCCCAATATCCAGCATCCAGTACTTATGTCATGCTATACCTTCTAAAAAGCAAGCGAAAATAGTCAAATATTTGCAAAATTTACTTTGTATTTATTTACTTTTTAAAAAAAAATTATTTTGGCGTGTATATAGTCATGTAAACAGATGCTTAAGTTAAAATAATTATTTTTAATGTGTGTAAATAGAGCTGAAAGCTTATAAATACCAAGACGGAAAAAATAAAAAACTGTTACGGGAGACATTTCGTTCTAGAATTTTTCTTAATAGAAAAATCAAATTTCTTTAACTAGTATAGAATGTATATAAAACTGCTTTTTTCCCCAGAAAGAGTAGATATTGTCGAATAGTTTAAAGAAGAGGATAGATTTAACACACACACACACACACATATATATATATATATGTGCTGGCATGCTTTTAACATCTA